GAAGAGAGAGAGAGAGAGAGAGAGAGAGAGAGAGAGAGAGAGAGAGAGAGAGAGAGAGAGAGAGAGAGAGAGAGAGAGAGAGAGCAGGAAGGAACTAAAGTGCATGACTCCAACTGTCAATCAAACCTGCAGGCTGCTGCATGGGTTCAATTACATCATCAAAGCAAGTTCAACCTTCTGATGAATGTGTCAAGTTGTCAATGAATGTGGGAGCCGCACACCACGTGGAAAAGATGAAGCTTTTCGAGTTCTTGTTTATCACCCGTATTCTCTCCCAAGGAAAACCATTGAACAGTGTGATAGCATGCATTGACTCACCTTGGTGATTGCATAAGCATGTGCTTTGACAAAAGCATTCTGGTTCATCGTATCCGCACCCGTGGAACACAAAGTGATTACATAACCCTTGTCATCGTATGTCTTCAATAAGGGCCAGAAACCTGCGGCCCGAAAATTGCGAGAGCATAATATCGTGGAAAGAAGTTTGTGATTAGCCATTTCTCAAAGACATACGAGACTTAACTCCATTCCATTAGAGGACTCACGACAGCTGAGTGCACTGACCACAAGTGATGCTAAAGTGATTCTGTGAATCTCGAGGGCAAGAAGAAACAATGCGCAAGTACTCATATTTCAGATGCCAGAATCTTGACAAAGACTTAGACAGACCCTCAACAACTTGTGCTCCCTCTTTCTTATTCTGGAAGACTTTGTGTCACAGATCCGAAATGATGGATGCAAATCCCTGCAATAGTGAAACCGAGATAGTATCATACCTGACTCTGAAACCTATGGACTCTTCCACGACCTCAAAGAGACCATGTTTGAATGTGGTTCTTGTTCCAATTCCAAGGATTAACTACAATGATTTGATCTTGGAAATCACGATGGGATACACTCACTCAAGGTGTAGGATCTGTAGATGCATGTTGTTTTCCACCAAGTAACTTACTTAAGTTGGTAAAGTGGCTGCTTCTAACTTGGCATCATGTTGAGAGTTCAAACCCCAGTGAGCGTTGAGATCAAAAGTAAAGTAAAATCAATCACTGTAATCGGCAGGTCCTGTGCACAAGATTGTTGGCAAATGCACATCATCTCCTCTGCGCTGTGCATTCCCTGTGTAGACACCACCACTGCTTCAGATGATCCGCCAATTCTCGGGCGACAGGCACAAGTGTCAATCAGGCTCAATCCAAGATATCCTAATATGTAGCCTCAAGGATGCAACACCATTGTTACAGTACAGCTTTCTGTACTCCCCATTTCATAGCATCAGGTGAGTTCCACATCCCATTTGAATTTTGAAATCATCAATCCAAAGTTTGGGCTTCACTGAAAGCATACTCACACTAGGACCTTTTCACCTCTTTGTGGACGTAATAGCTGTCAAGTGCATTCAGGCCGGGTCAAAAAAGCCGTCACATGCATCCGGGGAAGTCCTAGTGTGAGTATGCCCTGACAGTCAATTCTTCCCAGAGGAAGTAATCAATGCTGTCAGGGGTCCCTGGGCCGTAACGTGGGTAAGCATTACGAGTGTGACTATGTTATGTGTTTCTTCACTTGCCCATGGAATAGAAACTCCAATGATGCTACCGAGAATGCATACGGAGCCGGGCCCGTAAGGACCTGTTTTTTGTACTGAAGAAACAATAATTCAACAAGTGCCCCAGCGGCTCCACCATTCAGCACTGTGGTATTGCATTACCAACACTTCATCAATTCATAGTATTCATACGGTCTCGCATAGCAGACTGTCCATCGTCAGCATTAGGGAGAAACAATTAAGGCCAATGGGAAAAAAAAGATACTTGCAGGCACACACTGTGTGCACACTTGTGTAAGTGCATTGCACTGCTGCATGGCACACATGCAGCACACAGCACATTGCACTGTGGTATTGCATTAGTTTGAGCAACTTTTGCCGAGACTCCCATCCATCCCATCCATCCCATCCATCCCATCTATCCCATCCATCTCATCCCTTCCATCCATCCCATCCCTACAGCTCTGCCTTCCCGCCTGCTCTCACACATGGGTTCATCCACCTGCTCACCAATCTGCTTGCCTGCCAGATCACCTGCCCGCCGCCATCCACCCATCTGTCTGTCCGCCGGGGTCCATCCATCCTTCCATCCTCATCCTTCCATCATCTGATCATCCATCTGTTTATCCATCCATATTTCCACCCATCCCTCTGTCCATCCATCCATCCGTACATACGTCTATTTGCATTTTATCGGGCTTTGCATCTCCCAAGCATATGAGGAGAGACACTTACTTAATACTGTAGTGTACACCAATGTGTGTGATATAGTAATTGCTAAAAAGTTAAAAAACTCTACCGGTGATTACATAGTACTAACATGCACCCCGTCCATTCTGTCCAAGTGAATTTTGTATACAGCTTCTTTCCCACACTACACCCTCTCTGCCCTTCCCAGACAGCACTTTGACAATCACTGGTCCAATTCTTTCCCATTAAGAGACGCATTCCTTGGAAAAATGCTTCTACACAATGTGCAAGGATACTGTCCAGGGGGAACACATTGAATTTCTTCTTTTGCATTCATTTATTTGAATGGTTCTTCAAATAGTTCTTAAAGACCGAGATCGGCGAGATGGCAACTTTGGGCAGTTTCTCGTCATTGCATTTAGCCTGAGGCTCCCACGTGACTTTCATCACCATACAGATCACTCACCGTCACCGTCTTCAAGCTGCTGGAACTCTGGACTTCTGAATGCGAAAGCAAGACATGGGGCACCAGTGAGGTCCCTCAGTGCATTCACCGGCGATGGCGACCCTGTGCTCAGCCGCTCGTAGGACCCATGGAGTTTGGCGTACGCCTTTTCTAGCAAGCTCACCCACAGGTCATTTCGGGTGGAATGTGCTGAACAAGTACAACACATCAAACCATTACACATGTTGTATTCAGAACAGTCCGCCCAAACTTTTCAAGATGCCCACCCATTCCTCCCAGCCGTTCATATACCCTCACTTCCCATCCGTGTTTTCAGAAGAAAACCATTTGTCCTGTCAAAAGAACTACCCTGTGACGATGCTGGTTAATTCAGGTATCAAAAGTCATAAGGAGAAAGGAAGGTCAGGTGCAAGTTTTGCATGACAGGTGCTGAAGATTGGTCAAGGCAAGTCACTCCGTTGCCCATGTTTGGTCCGTTTCCCATCAACAGGTAGTGACAGGGAGGGCAATCCATTGCCCATCAACAGTCAGGATGACTCTGCTGTGTGGTACCAACAGGAGGGCCCATCAGCTGGCCATCCTGTTCCACAGCAGAACAACCCTGACTTCTTCAGACTGTGTGAATGACGACTCATTGTGTTCATTCGTTCATTGCTGCCAAAGCCTCAAGCAGATGGATGGATGGCAAGCGTGTAAGTGAAAAAACGGAAAGTTACGATAACCATTGATGACCCCGACCATTCAAGTCAGACCGTGTGAGAAACGTAGGGAACAAGTTAATGTCACAAATCAATGGGTGAACAAGCCTGGATGATGATCCTCCCATTCAAACCACTGCATTCCAATAATAACATTTCTGTCCAGTGAATGGATGCCATAGTGAAGCATCTGTGACTTCTGCAAGGGATTTGGACATTGTGCAGAACCTAGCACATCTTGGGGGGTTCCATGATTACCACCAAATGGATTATATCGAATGCACAACATCAAACGGATAATATCAAATGCATAACATCAAATGAATAACATGAAAGCCTTTAAAAAGAAGAAAAGGGGCGACACCCTTGAGATATAATCGTGGAACCGACCGGCATTCAACTAGGTCCATCTGGATTCCAGCTTACGTCTCTATTTCAACAGTTCATGAGTGTACCAACTGCGCTAGGACCGTTGGTGAAACCAAAGCCTTTGACATTGTGCAGGATGTAACAGTTCAATAGATAACCTCAAATGTCGTTGTGGTTCTAGTTCCCAGCTGACCTGTCCGCAAGTTGTGGGGGATAGGCCAGCAGAGTGTACATACCATATAGGAAATTTCCCTTCCTGGAAGGCAGCTTGCTATTCACTGCAATGGTCACCCATCTGTTCACCCAAACAGAAACAAAAACCAATGACATTCATCAGAATGCAATCACGATGCCTCTCCACATTCACATGGGGATGCGATACATTTACCATTTTCATAAGAAAACACTGGCATAAATCCAAGCATGGCAGATCAGTTGAGACCATGGTTACGCTGGACCCGGACCCAGACACAGTGAGACTTCAGGCCGGACTGACGTCCGGAAAAATCCGGACCCAAAACAAACAAACAAACGAACAAACAAACAGGTTGCACAAGGTTTACAGACAGGGGGTGAATTGGGCCATACCTACCTCAAGGCAGTATCCAGCCTGTGC